GCTGCGCCACCAGGGAGGGCCACTAAGCGCATCTTTTGTCTAAATATTTAACCTCTAACTCTGGTTCCTGACCCTGGGCCATAAATCCCCTGGAATGTCCTGGGTTGTAGGAATGTCTTTAGTTCTGATGAAGGGACTTGGTGGGCTTCTGCACAACAGCTGATCACCACAAAGTACAAGTCAGGATTAGAATACTAGAGTTTCAGCCCCATTCTCCATCTTTTGGACAAGGCTTAGAAGTTGAATTAATGATCAATTATGCCAATGTGATGAAGCCACCATAAAAAACCCAAAGTATGGGAATTCAGGAAGCTTTTGAGTTGGTGAACATATGAAACTGGCAGAGTGGCTTATCTCAGGAAGAGAACAGACACTCCACATGACTTCCCACATGCCCTGTGGATTGTTTCCATTTGTACATTCCTCTGTATCTTTTATCAGATTCTTTTAAAATAAACCAAAAAACATGTTTCCCAAGTTCTGTAGCACATCAATCAAACTAAAGAAGGAGATCATTGAGCCTGATCAATGATTGGTAAGAAGTACAGGTGACCAGGACTTGGAATTGTCAACTGAGGGTGGAGAAGGGAGTGATGGAGATAGAAGGCAGTCAGGAGATACTGAGACTAACCTGCAGTTCTCCAGGAATATAATGTCATTATTGAGTTACAATGTAGGACACCAAGCTGATGTCAAGAATTGCTCAGAAGTTGGGATTGTAGTAGTTAGAATAGGGGAGAGACAGTCAGGAGAAGTAAGATTTTCCTTTACAAATACCAATGTCTTAAAAGGTCAAGAAGATATTGTATTTCCTATCAAATTATAAGCTTCAAATACAAAGAGTTACAAGCTCTTATAAATTTCAATTTCACTTTTCCAAAAGAAAGTATTTTTTAAAAGAATATTTAGATGTACTGGTAATCTGTCTCCAATCTTCAAAATGCCAAATTTTGTAGGCAAGGCTACATAGTAAAAGATGCCATTAAAACAAAAGTCATACAAGAATTCTTTTTAAAAGAAATTAATTCACTGTTTGGCATTTCTAACTATAACATAAAACCTAAAACTCACAGAAGAAAAACAAATTACTAAATCATGCAAAACAACTGTAATAGTAAGGCAAAATGGGGCTATATATTGGCAAAATATATTACAAAGAGTTGATTTAATAGTATAAAAGTTTACAAAACCAATAACCTAAAAAAAATGGTCAATGATCACAAATGGACCCCAAAAGGCCAAATTCAAACACATTAAAAGACATTCATTTTCACTATTAAAAGAAATGCAAAGTTAAAACTAAGTTAAATACAACTAGCACAGCAAAAACTGATTCAGGTAAGACTCATCAATGTATGTTTAAAAACATACATTTTTAAAAAATACATTTTTAAAAAATGAGTGCGCAAAACACTCATTTTTTAGTCACCAGTGCCCAAGAATTACTGCATAGGTTAGAAGAAAGATGACCTTTTACAATATGATCATAAGTATCCAATGACGCAGATTCAAATCAGGACTAGCCTACAAAATGACTTACCTAGACTCTTCAAAACTGTCAACGGTATGAAAGATTAAAAAGGAAAAAGTCCAAGGATATGTTCTAAGGAGAAATGACCACTACATGCAATCTTTGATTCTTGATTGGATCCTGAATTTAAAAACAAAACTATTATAGACACTAGTGGAGTATTTCAGGAAACACGAATATGGAATGCTTAGCTAATAATCAGGTGCTAAATTTCCTGAGTAATTGTAGTAAGCTTATCTAGGAGAAAGCTGTTGTTCTTAGTAGATACGTGTTAAAGTATTTACAGGTATAAATGTCATGATGTGGATGAGTACTTAAAATGGGTTGGACACACCCATGTTTTTGTGTATACACAAAAAAGGATATAAAACATAGCAATATGTTAGCGACTGGTCAATATAAGTGAAAAGTCTGTGGAGGGTCATGATATTGTGCTTACAAAATTTTTCCATGTTTCAAACATTTACAATACAAGATCAGAGGAAAAAAATTACCCTGAGAGCCAATTTTTCACCTTTGTGATTAGCAATGACATTCAATTGTCTGGCACTCTAAGATGCAACGGGAATGCCTAAACATTCATTCTCACTATAGTAATTTAGCAATACCTATTGAAATTACAAATATGCAGAGCCACTGATCCATTAATACTACCACTACAAATCTATGTGCAAAATGACATGAGGTTATTTGCTTCACAAAAAGACACAACTTTTAAGTCCTTTAAATAGAAAAGTGCTGGATAAACAACTACACTAACAAATACCTACAGCTATTAAAATGAATGAGGAAGGTTGTTCTGTATTAACATCTAACAAATTTCAAAATTAACATTAAAAGTAGCAAAGTACAGGTCCCTCCCTGGTGGCATAACAGGTTAGGATGCAGCACCGCAAGCTAGCACAGCCACTTCAATGCAAGTTCAATCCCCAGCCCCGGAGGTGATCCACATGGCACGGCAGACCTCTCCTCCTAGCCCGCCCACTGCTCCTCTCAGCAGTGTATTTCATCAGTCAGCTTGCTCTGTCTCTGGTGAATCCTCTCACTGCCCCTGCACCTCTGGCCTGTACCTCAGTTCTGTATACAGAAATAAATAAATCTTTAAAAAAAAAAAAGTAGTAAGTTACAATATACACAATGGAATATTACTCAGTGGTCAAAAAAGACAAACGCATGCTTTTTGCAGCAACACGGTGGAGCTGGAAGAGATCATCCTTAGTGAAATAAGCCAGAAAGAAAATGAAAAATACCAGATGCTCATAGCTCCTTTATGCTTATAACAGGAGCAAAAAGAACCAGGGGAAAAAATACTAATGAGGAACAACTATATACCAGAGACATTTTATGGGGGTGGCGTGGGGAATGGGATAAAAAATGGTGGGTGGGGGGAAGTGCACAGTTCTATGGTGATGGCACAGGGTGAATTGGTGATGGGAAGTCCATGGGGATTACAACTAAGATGGAAAAAGGCATAAAATGATGTAAAAATAAACTATTAAAATTAAAAAAGAGCAGCAACGTACAGAACAGGGTGCAAGATATACTTTTTGTGTAAAATTAGCAAACCATGTTATTTGCTTGCAATTTATATACAACACCACATGAAGAACACACAAAGATCTGATATAACACCGATGGGGAATGGGTGACCTAAAGCTAACAACACATATGTTTTCAAAGTGCACATTTTTGTATCTTCTGAAATATTAAGTGAATGTATTCCCTATTCAAAAATAGGCTATTATTTATATTTTTTTAAAAACTACAAGGTCTGGCCCTCCCTGGTGGTGCAGCGGGTTAAAGCACTGCACTAAGAAGCTGAAGCCACTTCTGCATGAGTTCGATCCCCGCCTGCGCCGGAGGTGACTACAAGGCGCGGCAGACATCTCCTGACCCGCCCGCTGCTCCCCTCAGCAGTGCACTTCGTCAATCAGCCTGTTCTGCTCCCCACTCTGTCTCTGGTGAATCCACACACCCCCCGCGTCTCTGGCCTGTACCCCAGTTCTGTATGTACAAATAAATAAATCTTTAAAAAAAAAAACACAACTACTTTGTACATTTACTAGTTGGTTTTAAGGGGTGAGGAATTTTCTGGATTAAAAAAAGCAGCATCAAGAACAATCTTGAAATTTAAAAGTCTTGCTCTTGTTCACCAAGTCCAGGCAGACAGAACCAATTCTGAGGAAAAATAATATAAGGGAACAAAAAACCAGAAAGGCATTCCAAAGGGTAAAATATGTTCATCACAATGCTTTATAGTGGTGTCACTACCAGTGGGAAATATTAAACTCAAATAAAAAATTATTCTAAAAATCAAATTGACAGTTTTACATCTGTTTTTAAGACAAAAGTATAAATCCTAGCACTGATTTAATAATTTTTTTAAAAAGCAACCTATTTTATAATTTTATAATTCAATTCTGGAGGGGAGAAACAGCATGATGGAGAGCTACCATAGAGCTGTCAAAACAGAAATGTTGCATAATTACCTCCTCTGTATCTTTTAGTGTACACACATGATATGGCATAGATATTAACGTCTGTTCCTTCTTATCTGCTATATAAAGCCACCACCATTCTTGCTTTTCCTGAAAAAAAAAAAGAGAGAGAGAGAGAAAATAACAGTTTGGGTTTATTTTAGAGGTATTATTTTATTCACCCTCAACATAGACCTCCTGTGGTAGGTACATACTACAGTAGATACGTGTATATCTACACTGTATTCTGCATACACAAAGTAGATGAAAATTCAACAGACTGAAAGTAAAGTGTTAGTGTCACAGTTTTGTGGACCACAGAGTGTCTGCTACAACTATTCAAATGTATCACTGTGGCACAAGTAATGAGTATGTAAGTAAAGACTCATTTGACTCATTTACAAGGAGTCAAATTTGCTTTCAAGCCATAGTTTACCAATGCCTATTTTAAAGCCTGCGATGATCTGGATTGTTCCACTTCAGTTAAGTAAGTGTCTACCTCAGGCAGTACTATGATGATGAACTGAGATGATACAAGTTAACACAAGCTAGACTGCACTGCACATAGAATGCAATGAGTTATGATTATTATGAAGTAAGGAAGACAAAGCTATTATGTAAGTAGTTCTAATCTTTCATTGTTAGAAATACTGTTAAAGGGAAGGATGTCCTAAAGGAACTCTGCAGTTTCGTGGACTCCACCCCCTATACTCCAGCTTTCTGGACTACTCCAGTGACTGGAAACTGTAATTCCCAGCAGGACCCAAGGGCGGAGCTAAGCAGGCATTCTGGGACTTTGGGGGATAAATATGGAGTCATTTTCTACAGTGCCCTCTCACTCGGGCAACGGCTCTCGGGACCTGGTGACTGTGGGCTATCAGTTGGTTTTGTTACCAGAGCTCCAAGTTAGCCAAGCCAGTAAGATATTCTAGTTACCTTTTCTATCTCTCTCTCTTTCTCTGGATTGTTCCTTTTCCTTTCCCCTTTTGTACATAAACCCATTATTGACCCTTTTGTGTGTGCCTGCAGTACAACTAAATTTTAAGCGTGTGGGTGAGAACCCACAGACAGGCAGCCCAGTTCACACTACAACTGCCAGACCAGAAGATATATCTAAGTTGCAGGACATATTCAAGATGGGCATTTGTTTGTTACCAATTCCTTTCCCCTCTTTGAGCTAGTTGATTAAAATTAGAATCATGCAAGAATACTTATTAATTGCATTAGACCTGTGCCTTCGATGCACATGCTGAAACTGGAAAAGATGCTCAACCACGAGTTATTTTTGTTGTGCAAGACTCCCAACATTCTTAACATAATAATTATAATTAAATATAATAAATGACTGTCAAAGCATGCAAATCAACTACTAATCTAAAATTTTAAGTAATTTAATTAGAGAGTATATGTGCAAAGGCAGACAGGAAGATGTTAGGAAAATTCTCAATAGATTTTATTTGATAAATCATACTTTGCAATGTTTACCATGCAGTTGTAGATTAAATTACAAGGGAAGAGAAAAGCATTTTCACAGCTAGAATGTTCTAAGGGGGTGAAAGAATAGTTATCATATTAACGAAGGATGTTATATGGACACAAATAATGTAGTTTATCACATCCCATGGCACTTTTAAAACCAAAGTGGTATTTGCTTGATTTCAGGACCCCTTGTGTCGGCTGACTATCACTGCAATGGGCAAAATGTCCCTAACAGATGGGCTAAAGTTCAGCACATGCCAAAAGATCAGCGTGTACATTAAGATGGAATCCTAGGCTGACTTCTCTCCAAGTCCAAACAACAGTCTGTGAAAGCCACAGGAAAGCCAAATTACTTAGGAATTGCTTTCAGCAGCCTGGAGCTCTCTGGATTAACATTCTAGAGCAGAAAGCAGATTTATACATGAAATCACCTGCCAAACATGAGTGGTGAGCAGAAGTTTCTGTGGCAAAGCTGTGAGGCGGTCTGTGAAACAGTTTCCCTGAACTAAAAGGCAACTGGTTCTTGACCTCTGTTCACAGTCAGAATCAGCCAAAAAGCAAAATGTCAAGCAAATCCCAAATTAGCCTATCAAGGAGATCAAAAGTTGAGCAGCCCACATCCATGAAGAAAACAAGGTCAAGTGAACAAAGAGCCTTGCAATGATCTGTTCTGCATTTCAAGTTGAACCATGCTCAGCTCCTCCTGCACTGAGCTGGATCCGGAATCAAGGCCTTGCCTTTCCTCACCAACTAGTGCAATTACCAGGGCCAGAGCAAGTGAAACCTATGGAGAAAATTTAAAGAATGCTTCATCCTATTTAAAACTTGGCAGCACAGGCCTTCCCTGGTGGCACAACAGGTTAGAGCACAGCACTGCAAGCTAGCTGTGGCAGCTTCAGTATGAGTTCCATCCCCCACCCTGGTGGTGACCCACATGGCGCAGCAGACCTCTCCTGACCCGCCCACCGTTCCCCTCAGCAGTGTGCTTTGTCAATCTGCCTGTTCTGCTCCCCATGCTGTCTCTGGTGAATCCTCTCACTTCCCCTGTACCTCTGGCCTGTACCCCAGTTCTCTATGCATAAATAAATCTTTAAAAAACAAAAACTTGACAGGACAATAGCTATGCAGCATAGGTGAAATAGGCATTTGTCTGATTAAGACTGCCTGACCAGCTATTGAAAAATCATCTTTAAGCACAACCCTGAGTAATCTAGGTACAGAAGAAATAGAAGCAGAAGAAACCACAAAAATTAAAGCTAACAAGTAATACTTTACTAAATGTAGCTCTTAATGAAATATACCTTTTAAAAATGTGGACTATCAAGGATAGACCTACATTTATCACATTTAATAATGTAGTATGAAATAGGATATATCAGAGATAAAAGGCAACTGAGAAACCTGAGGGAAAAACTGAATGGAATAAGGAAAACACGAAAACATGTAATACTCACCTCAGGAAAGTAAAGGCTATAAACAGGATGGGTTATCTTTGATTTGGTTTCCAAAAGAGCTCTCTCCTTTCGCTGTATACTTTGTTGTAATTCTTGCCATTCCTAGTAAAGTAAAAATTAAAATATTTAAAATCAAGTATGTTATCTGGTAGTTTTTATGAGTTCCCACTTTCCTCCAGCACTGAGTTCAGACTCACAAATCTGATTACTCCTGCATTCAAAACTTATAATGCATCATTATTAAATCTGACCTGTTTATCATCAAGTACATCTATACCAACTACATATTTATGATCTCATGCAGGGCCTACCTTTCCTCCTCACACTTTTTTTTTCTAATCATTTTAGATTATTTACACATTTTACACGAATTTATTCCTAAACCCTGTTTCAATTTTTGCTTGCCCCTTTCTCTGCCTGACAAGTTCCCCTTCATTCTCTTAACCACTTAAACCCTAAAGTATGTGCTCCTGAGTACTACAAACTTCCTTCAACCTCAGGACTGTCAAGCACTCTCTTCTTTGTGATCACTGCACTCTGCACAAAATGTGCACAATCTCTTTTGTACTATGTTAAATTCTGTTTGCTTGCCCATTACCTACGCATCATTCAAGGACAGGACCTTTCACATTTGGCTTTGCACTCTTTTCATCTAACAGAGGGATGTGACAGATGAATAATTATTATTTCTTTATTGAATGTATTTCTGATCACCTGAAAAAACTAGTCTGCACAGCCCTAAGAGTTATCTCTACCAACCTTAATATACTCAGAAAAGAAAACATCAATAGATCCACAGATAATTTCTGTGGTAGGTTTTCATTTTCTGGCAATCAATTTAAATTCGCAAAAGTACAAAAACAATCAAAAGGCCAGAAACTACTGGAATAATCACCGTTTTGCACTCCCATCACTTTAAGGGCACAGATACATCATTTCCTTGTACTTTTAACCTTTAACATTTTTTTTTGGTCTCTGTTTTTACCTGAGAAGCTACTCAGGGGACCCCTTTTACTACTAAACCACAAGGGTTACTTTTATACTTTCAGATCAATACCCCTGTCATAAAGAACATGGCAAACATAAAGGAAACAGCTGATCAACTTATAGCTCATCTGCAATGACCTCTAAGGACCTTGATTTGTTCACCAAATACATTCCTTTCTATAGCACTCCCATAAATCAGTGATATGCCAAGAGAATTTTTTTTCTATTCCTTATACTGTGACCGTCTTAATAAATTCCTTAAGGACTCCCACTCTTTTTAACATCTTCTGTTAAGTCTTGAATCAAGATGAATTCTGTAAATATTAGCTTATCTCAACTAAACTCTTGATGTTAGAGTCCAACATTACTAACAATCTTCATGAGAGTTCCAAGTAATTCCTACCTATTTCACAGCCCAACTCTCCTTATTCACATGCCAGCCATCTCCAAAACTGAAAACAAACCAAACTGACTTCACTTTGGACTCAGGTCCTAGTCTGTCTAGCAATTTAAGTTTAAGAAAATTAGTATTTCCAGTACTTATTAGAAATAATTTTTCAATACCTAAAAAAATCCTTATCAAGTAATATAAAACTATACTTTATATAACTATAAAATCAGAGGTACAAATCCAACTACTTAAACCTAACAGTCTTACTGCTTCATCATCTTTGCTTTGTTTTTCATCTTGTTCTCTATCAGAGTCTCTGTCACTGGCATCATCTTTTTCACTTTGGGAGTCTCTATTGGTTTCTTCTTCTTCAGATTCACTGCCTTTGTCAGAAACTTCTTCTTCATCTTCTTTCACTGCAGCTTCCTAAAAAGAAAAAGTAACCATAGAATATCTTAATGAGTATATTATCATCCTAAGTCCCTGAAACTAATTTATGATAGTTAAGCTTACACAGGGATGTAAGTTCATTATTCACACAAAATTTTAGAGAATTATAAACATTCTTATTTATAAATAGGTGGCTTCTCATAGTTTGTAGAACAAAAATATTTTACTTCTACAATGGCTTATATTTCAGAAACAAATTTAGAAATTTAATATTTTGTACTACTGATGAGAATATAATATAGTAAGGAAAGAAAATATGCAAGACAAAATACTTACTAGTTCATTTCAAGAAGCAAAAAAAGAAAAGAAAGAAACCCCAGCAAACCAAATGCAAAGAAAATATGAAGTAAATAGTACAGACCAGGGATCAATTAAAAAGAAAGTAGATATACAAAAGGGAAACTCAAAGTCAAAAATTTATTTGAAAGGTTATCAGAACTAATAAACCCCAAGGCAAGACTAACTAAAGAATAAGGAAATGATACAATTTACCAATAACATGTAAGAGGCATAACTACAAATCCAAAAGTAATTTTATGTCAGTAAATCTGGTAACAGAGGAAATTGACAAATTTCTTAAAAGTCAATTTACTAAAAGCAATACAAGGGGAAAAAAAGCAGAACATAAAAAAAATGGACTCTATAACTAAACATTTTTTAGGACTCCAAGTCCAGATGGCTTCTCTAGGAAATTCTTCCAATAAGAAACAAATCACACTTCATACAAACTCCTCCCAAAAAAGAGAGAATAGATTAATTCCTAACTTGTTTAGTGAGACCAGCATAAACTGAATACAAAACCTGGCAAGGATATTATAAAGGAAAATGATAA